TATTTGTTATGCAATGCGAATTTTGAGCCAATTTATGCATCAATCCAAAACCTCACACATGAACTCTATGCTAAGTGGTTCTTAAGTATCTTAAAGGGAATCTTAGTCTTGGCATCTTGTTGTCTTCTTCAATTCAGTTGCAATTAAAGGTATTTTATGATTCTGATTAGGCTTCTTATCCCATGATAAGAAATTCCTTGACTAGATTTTATGTATTCCTTGGCTCTTCTCTTTTGTTCGAAAAACAAAAAGCAAAACACCATTTCTTGTTCTTCGACTAAAGCTCGAATATAGAGCTATGGCTACTTGTTACATGTAAGGTAATTTGGCTTGTTGGTTTGTTATAGGAACCGGGAGTATCGGACTTGACAACAACAAAAATACATTATGACAATAAAGTTGCCCTACAAATTACCTCCAATTCGGTCTTCTATGATAGAACTAAGCATATTAAGATTGATTGTCACTTAGTTTGAGAGAAACTCAAAGTTAGATTGATTAAGATTGCCTATGTTGCCACCGATGAGCAAATTGCAAACATCTTCACTAAAGGTCTTGGTAGTAAACATCATCTATATCTTCTCCCCAAGTTAGGTGCTTATGACATATATAAACCACCAACTTAAGGGAGAGTATTGAGAGAGTATTTTATAATTAGTTAGTTAGTAATTAATGGTTAGTTAGTTAATTTAATTTAGTTAGTTGAGTTAGTTAAGTCATGTAAGTTGAGTTGTAAAGGATAAAGCCTCATTATATATATACTAATCGTAACACTCGAATTAGATAATGAAATACAAAAACACTTTTTGCTTCTTTTCTTCTTATTGTTAACATTGTCAAAAAGGTATAGGTATATAGCGATCCGGTAAAAAGTTAATTTGACCAAAGAAAGATATTATCTTCTATTTTATTTTTTTGTATCTCTCTTCTCTCACTATTCATTATGAATTAAGATGTTCATTGCTATAATATCAATATCAAATTATTGCAAGTACATGCTTAAACAAAATTGGACATTGGATCAAATAATTAAATTTTGAAACAACTCATATGAAATTTTAGCTTTATGGTTTAAAGGATGGTTTAAGGGTTTTGTTTGGGATAGTTTTAGGGCTTTTTGGCCTGCAAATTGAGGTCTGTCTTGGGGCTTTTTTGTAGCTGTTTTGAGGTGGTTTTGGAGGTTAGATAGTGGTGATAGTAAGGAGGCTATCTTGGGTCGTATCTTTTGGATTGAATTTGTATCATATGAAAGTTTTCTTTTGGTTTTAGGCTTTTCATAAAGATTGTAAGTTTGGATGTCTTATTTTTATATGATTTTGAATCATTGCAATCCAATGTGTATAATTCCATATGTGGTCTAAACACTAGGCAATGTTCTAGATGGTCACATAAACTAAATTTTTAACTTGACTTCGCATCTAACTTTGATAGATGAAACCAAAATGGATTTTTATGTTTAAACTCAATTAGGAAAGCTTAAGATATCTATTTTAAATCCCAAAAAGGTCTCATTTTTGTTATGGATCTCTAAGAAGGTGAAATTCTAAGATCTTATTCTAAAGGTCAATCGCAGACAACGTAAATTCGAGTTAGTTTGAGGTAGTTTTTGGTTGGATTAAGAGGTCTTTTTGGAGAAGGAGGATGTCGAATTTAGGGCTGATTTGAGGGAGGTTTTGGGAGGCTTTGTATGGCTTAGATTGTGATGCTATAAATGAGGAGTGGAAGGTTATTTTTTATGGTCGATGGTGGTGGTTTTGTAGGAGACAGCTTTTTTTCCCCCATTTTAGGATAAGACTAGTTTGTCTTTCCTTTGTACTTGATTTTTACATTAATAAATTGCTCAAGATACCACTCTTGTTTTTTTTAAAGAGTTTTTTTTTATTCTCTCTAGGTTTTTTCTCCTCAAAAAAAGATGAATGACCTCTCTCTAGGATTTTTCTCCTCTTTTTTTCTTTTGTGGGAGAAAAGATGTATTTATAGGGATTTTTAGGGTTTGAAATTAATTTTTTTGTGGTTCCTCATTTTCCCCTTAATTTCCATAATCGTTTGCCTTTTCTTACTTCACTTATTGCCCTCAATTGAAATTCTTTAGCCTCCATGCATTTTATTTTCTTTGATTTATGACCATATTTGTTTCTCTCTATTTTTCTTGATTTTCATTCATTCTTTTTTTTCTTTCTTGTTTTCTTTTCTTTTCTTTTTAATTTTTTAATTAAAATTAGGAGATAATCTTAAAAAAAATCCTAAAAATTATCAAAAAAAATAAAGAAAATATGCAGCATGCAATTTTTTTGAAGTTGTTTTAGAAATTTTTTTAAAAAAAGTAAAAATTCATATGAGGTCAAAAGTGATTTACAAAAGAAAGCATCTACTCAAATTGGCATGACCCTTTTTCTCTCTCCATGTAGGAAAACCACTTGAAAATTTTCCGTCCGTATAGATAAAATGCAAGACCATCCATACTATATATGTAGACAACTTATCCCAAGTCCTTAAAGTCACTATTGTTTATCAAATATTCTAACTTTAACTACATCCAATCAACCACTTTGTCCGTTAGAATGAAGCATAACTCACATTAAAGATCCGTATCCACACTCAAAACCACACCCGAACTTTGGATTTCAATCAACAAAGGTCAGCTATGGGGATTGAAAAATTACGAATTGCAAAACTATTTACATGAAAATTACTATTAAATTATGTTTACAAGTTGTCCAAAGGGCCTATGGGTGTCATTTAATTCACCTTTAGCTCTAACCATGCATAGTCCCTTCCAATGTTAGGATAAGATGCAACTAAAAGCTAATCCAAGACCTAAATAGCTTAAATGTAAAAAAATGATAACTCATACAGAGGAACCAGCCATTCAATCAAAACAATCCAATTATTTTCATACTTAGCTAGAAATAGCACAAGAACAAGGAACAAATCATTATTTTACAAACAACAATGTGTCCGATACCATGTCATAGCTCCCCGAAGTTGTGCCCTATCTAGAATCCTACATACCTATCATCCAAATTGGTTGCTATTAATGAAGTGATGTATCAATGACTAGGTAACAAATATAACTAAACACATTGAATGAAGAACTTCAAAAGTCAAGATCCTACAAATTAGAGAATAATGCACTAGCAACTAATTTTAGATATAGCACAAGAACAAAAAATGAAAGGTTGAGAGAGCTGCGAAGCCACCTCAACTCTTAAAAGCCTCGAAAAAGGCTTTTAATGATGACTTACCGGGAGAATTCCATCATTTTGCAATAAAATGAAATTTGTTTCAAGTTGCTCGAGTCTATAACTTTAGCTCCACTTATAAAGCTCTTGCTCCGAATGCAATTGTGATTGCCATGGTGAATTATCAAAGTTCCACTCGTCACCCATGAAATTCAATAGAGCTAACTATCTTACTTAATCACATTGTTGTTTGATTATTAGGAATGAGAGGTCCGGTATAAGAATGTAGGAATCAAAATAAAAATTAAAATAATATTTGTAATGAAAAGTTTATAATGAAAATGCAGAATCAAAATAAAAATTAAGAAATCGAATGACATATGCATTCTCATATAATAATAAAAAATTGAAATAAAACTTAAATTTTTTAATATTTGATTTTTTAAACGAATAAGAATAATGATTAAAAAAATAATTTCATCAACTATAATGATTGTAAAAATGATAAACGTGATTTTAGTAGTAATGGTGGAGTAAAAGAAAGAAAAGGTAATGATAGTAATACAATATAGCAATGACAATAATATATTTTTTGAAAAAAATTGATACCACCCTCATGGAATGTGGCGATGAAATAAGAGTTATTGTAGAAAAAAATGATGATGGAATAATAATAATAATAATAATTTTTAAAATTTTTTATTACTACCACCAATAGTAGTTGTATACCAAAATTAGTTGTATACCAAAAATAATGGTAATGGTTGAGAAAAAATGATGGTAAAATAATAATAATAATAATAAGTTTTTAACTATCACTACCTTCAATATCGATATGTGCATTATCATTTCATAATAAAGAATCGAATAAAACTTAAATTTTTTAATATTTGATTTTCAAAACAAATAAGAATAATGATTAAAAAAATTCATCAACTATGTAAAAATGATAAAAATTATTGTAGTAGCAGTGGTGGATTAAGAGAAGGAAAATAGTAGTAGTAATAATAGCAACATAGTAATAACAATAATATATTTTTTTTAAAAACAAATTGATATCACCTTCATGAAAGGTGACAATGAAATAAGAGTGATAGTAATGATATAATAAAAATAATTATGATGGTAGAAAAGAATGATAATGAAATAATAATAATAATATTTTTTTCAAATGTTTTATTATTACCACCAATAATGGTTGTATACTAAAAATAATAGTGGTGGCTAAGAAAGAATTATGACAAAATAATAATAATAGTTTTTTTTTTAATTATCACCATCGCCAATGTTGATATATTGACGGTTGTATAGTGATGGTAATAATAATAAAAATAATAAAAATATAATAAATAAAAATAATATATCATTATTTTGAATTTTTTTTTTTTTTTTGCTTTTATTCTCATCTATTTTCATGACAATGAAACTAATAACACGTACACTACCAAAAACTATGCTTAATTTTTATTTTTATTATCACTTTTTATTCTCGTTTTCATCTTTTTTTGTTTTAACCAAACACTTACAGCCTGAAAATAAGACTTTCATTTTCATTCATTGTTACCATACAACACCTAAAAAGGTTAGTGATTGCTTTTGAAGGCCACACCACAAGACAAGGTTTACAGCATACCAGCATTTGATTTGTTTAACCAAAGCTCGCCTCACTGTAAATTCTCCTAAAACTGTAACAACATTTTCAATTTGAAACATTAAGAAAAGAAAAAAATTGTTACATAAAATTTTATTGGCTTACAATTTTCACACATAAAGTAACCCTATGAAGCATCCCATCATGAAGCAAGCCAGATCAAATGATCAAACTCCATTATGATATTTATTCAGTAACTCGGATGCTAGAGAGGTCCTTCGAGCTGGAAATTGCCACCATCTGCCTAACCCAAAACCTAGATGAGACTGATTTCTTTCACTGCATGTATTTCCAACTTTGTCATAGAGAATACTATAGTTGGAGCTGCTTATGTTTCTGAAGTAGCAGGAGTCACTACTATCATACGTGTATGCCTGTTGTGTGCTCCCCACACCACTTTGAACCAAGTTATTCTTCACAACCATAACACCTTGCCCATTCTGTAGATTTCTGAGAGTGCTGGATGCAAATCCTAAACCAGCATGTTTAACATTCTTCTCATTGAATCCCAATGTCACATTTGCAACAGACAAGGAAGTGTCATTTCCTTTATCTGAGTAGTCAGAATACATTTCAAACTCGAAATTTTTGAACGATTTGAATGCTTGAATATTAGAGGACGGCTTCCTGAAAGAAACATTATCAGTAAAATTAATCGTCTGATTCACAATCTGCAAATCCCCATCCTTGCCCATCTCCATCAAGTTGCTGTAACCAAAGTATTGATTAAAACGGGTAGTGATTTTCCCATGAGAGGACTTTACCCATCCATTTAAGGATATGAACCTGCGTGCACTTGTCAAGAATGTTCCATTCAAACCTTCAAAATTTGATACCAAAGACAAAGCAAGAGGCTTGCTTTCATGTTTCAAAAGCTTCCCTTCCGTGTTTGTGCTCTTATGGTCCAGCCAAAGATGCAAATTTGCATCTATGAACCACACATTCAAAGCATTCGTGACACTAAATCCTAACGCGTGAGTCTTTCCATCCAATATATTTCCTAAGAAGGGTGTGATTTCAATATCATAAGAGGGGAGATCAAATGAACCAATGCCACTAATGGGTCTCCACAAGAGAGGATTAATCCCACCAGTAAAAACCACCGTAAAAGGCCAAACTGCGCCAACAACCTCTCCATCAAGACTCACCACAACCTCTCTAAAAGGTCCATTCCCTGGGTAGCCAGTAAGATTATTCGCAGTAATATACTCATTAGGATAATTTCCATACCAAAATTCATCATTCTCATGAAAAGAAACATAAACCTCCAACACAGCCCTATAAACATTTCGAGGTATCTTGAATTCCTTCAACCCAGTATCAGTAGAATTCTGAATTTCAAACCACAACCCATCATTCAATGGCATATTTCGCGAAATGGGCAAGATCAAATCAGCCTTAGAATCCCTCCCAGATACCAAATTGTTCAAACCATGCTCCCTCGGACTCAATTTCTCTTTAGCAGGATAAAAGTAAACACTTATATTCACATGGTATACCCCAGTATAAGTACTATCAACAAGATTACCCATATAAACGGCAAATTCTTGAGTCTGATTCTTAACAAACAACGAATAATACCTTGTTATATCCTTCCGTACAGTCCAAATAATCCCAGTTGCTCTAGGCTCCGCAGTGCAACTCCTAAGAAGCTCCACCCCACCTAACCAAACCCCAAAAATACGATCAAATTGCCTCCCTTTGCAAGTTGCCTTCCATTCAAGGACAATCTTGGAGAAATCTTGATATTGGCAATGAGAGGGAAAGGTATAGTTTGCAAGAACAGGAGGCTTGCCATAAGTAAAGGCAAAATCATGCTGGAGAATAAGGTGCTTGCAAGGTTTAGTGTTGGGGACCTTTATAGGTTTGCGTACTTCAAAGAAAACAGTTGGTGGGGTGTCATTAAGCGGTTTATGGGCTCCTAGTGTTGTGGTTATGGGGGTAGGTTCTTTAAAGAGATGTGATTTGAGGAGTTTGTTGGTTTTGTGGATATTAGCTGTGGAGGAGAGAGGGTGGAGGAGGAGGAGGAGGAGGAGGAGAGGGAAGGGAGATGTGGCCATTGACTGGTTGTTGTTAACTTCTTGTTTTCTTTTCTTAAGATCAAAAGAAAGAAAGCACCTTTTCTTTAAAGGAGGCACGACATTGGACAAGAAATTACAACACGAAAGATGAAAACAATGAATGAGAGTTGGAATTTCCAAATTAAAAAAGATGAATTGGAGTAATAGTCATAGTCATAGTAAATTAGTAATTAGAGGAAATAAAAAGGAAATCTTGCTGGCATTGAATCAGGAATCTTGATTTAGGCGTTAGAGGAAGAATAGCCACGATAGATTCGGTTGTGTAAATTAGTAATTGGATTGGTTCTTACCGGTGGATGAATGGATCCTTGCATAACACAACCGAATTGATTTCGGGTCTTCCAAAGGAAGACAAGATTTGTTCGAGAGCATTATTTCGGGCCATTTTCCATCGAAAACTGGTGCAGTTTTATTAATAGGAAAAAGAAAAAAAAACTATATTTACCATGGTAATGATAAACGAGTGCATCACTAGTCGAATTTTCTACTAATATATAAGGTTAGAATTTTAAAATCATATTTGTTATAGGAGGTTAAAATTTATAATTTTCGTTTCAAACATAATTAATCATATTTTTAATATGAAATAAGAATATATTGATTAAAAAAAGTTTTGAGTTAAAGTTATCATCTAAAGAATTTATTAAATTCATCTTATTATAGTATAAAATCTTTAAAATTATTGAAAAAAATTAATATCGATTCACATGTAAAAATGCCTCTTATTGTTAAATAAAAAAAAATTACTTAAAATTTTACCTGATTATCGTCTCAAACTCAAGAGTCAGGACATAAATACTTGAAGTTTTTATTATGAGTTTTCAAATTTAATGCAAAGAGAGAAGGGATTTAGAAATTAGAAGAGGAAGACCACTAGTCAATATAAATTTGAGAAAAAGAAAAAAGAAAAAAAACCGTTGGTTGATTATTAAGAAAGAATGAAAATAGAGTTCTATTTATTTAATGGAGCTAAGAATGCACTTTTGAATTAATTAATAGGATAAATGCTTTTAAGATGCAATTACCAAAAGTGCAGCTATTTGATCAATGATCTCAGCAGACAGCACTCAGCGCAAGTTTCTTTGGATAGACATTATGCATAAGCCTAATCATGTAAAGTTTAATTATTTATTATCTTGTGTTGTAGACTTTGTGATTTTTTGTTTTTGGCCTTTTTAAAGGGGGGACAACACAAGGCTTTTTATATTGGAGTAGAAAAGAAGAAACAATGTTGTTGTTGTGGATGTAGGTGAAAACAATGATGGAATGCCAAGTGATTGAAATGTTTTGAATAGAAAGGCAATTCATAGTTGTGTTTGTTGCATATGTAAAAGATTTTAGATTTCTGTTATTTATGGTAAAAAATTATATTGTAGTTTTATTTTATTTTCCTTTTGATAATAAATATTAAATTATTTTGTATCAATTTATATTAAATTTATTCTCAAGTAATTTTTAGAAATATAGTATTGTCCGGCACATATTACTTAAAATATAGAAATGGTGATTCTGACATACACATTTCTTAAACTATGGGCTATTTGGATAGAGACCCTTATAGTATTGCTTCACACCTTTTAAAATGGGAAATTCTGTGACCTTTCATCTGACTCTCACCATCAGAACACATCTGACTTCTACCATCAAACAATGACCCAGCCATTCGTATTCTAAAATTTGAATCTTCCCTCTGTTATCCCCCAATTATAAAAAAACACTTTTGCCATAATCTTGGAGACAAATCAGTGGAGAAATGAAGAGAAGCCGGAAGCAGAAACGAGCAGAGATACCTAGGCGGCCATTGAATTTGAAAAAAATTCTCATCCTGTAACTCCATTCAGCCATTGAATTAACCATGTTCTTGTATACCAACCGAGAATCTTCAAACCCTAACCTTCATTATCTTCCATTCTCTCCTCCTCTTCGCTGTCTTTAGATGCCTTTTGTTTTGTTACAATGCATTCTTAAACTCATTTTTAAAAAAGAATAATTATTATTCAATCTCCATAAATCCAAAAATCACTCTTCATAAGGGAAAAAAAAAGTTGAAGTGATTTTAAATGTTATTGATTATTTTGTTTTGAAATTGACCAGATTAGAGCATGGTCACGGATAATAAATTTAAGAAAATAAATGAGAAATTGAATACATAAATTTTACGTAGAAAACCTCTAAACAAGTGAGGATAAAAACCACGGATAACGATAGAAAATTTTTCACTATGAAAAATAATAAATACCAAACTTCTCTTTATTTTACATGAAATAAGAGAGAGAGAAAGAAAAAAAAAAAACTATCTAAATTTAACTAGCTAATTTATGGAATTTTTTTTTTTTTTTGGTGGGATACTTTTGAACTAAGTTAGAGAGGGCAATTTATAGGCCCCCATGCAAGTTCATCTCTCTTCTAAATCCTTCTCACTTATTCTTTACTTTGACTTTTTATTTTCACTTTTTTTTCCTTCTTTCCTTGTGTCCACCATCTTTTTTAATAATCTTCCACTTGAAGATATGATCGAAAGTCAATCGGATCTTCACGCCTTTTTTCTTTCTTGTCATTTCCATGTTGCTTATGTCTCTATCAAGCAACAAAAGGATCAACACCAAACAAACTTGTCGGTATTAGTTATCTTTATCATAAAATCTACTAGGTTGTCTTTGGTATGAATTTTCTACATATCCACAATTTCCTCTTCCACTCTCTTGCGAATGAAGTGATACTCAACTCGTATATGTGTTTGTCTTTGAATGAAATGCTAGATTTCTTGTTAAATGCAAGGCACCCTCACTATCACGGAACAAAGAAATCTTTCTTTGATTATGTCCGAGTTCCTCTTATATCATCTTCAACCATACTACTTCTTTATTGACTTGTGTAGATGCTACATATTTTTCTTCCGTTGTCAATGTAGCGATAACTAACTATAGTTTTGAAACCTAGCTTACACTTCCTCAAACAAGAGTAAACACATAACCTATGGTGGATTTGGTTTGTCAAAATCACCCGCATAATCCGAATCAATATATCCTCTAACAATAAAGTATGATCCTCCATAACACAAATGCAACATCCGAAGTTCCCATAATGTATCTTAGCATCCTTTTTACATCATTTTAATGTCTCTACTAGGATTTGCCATGGATCAATTCACTACTCTCACTCGCACGTGCAATGTCGGGCCATGTACAAATCATAACAAACATTAAACTATCTACTATGCATACAACACTCAAAACATCTCTATCATTTCTTCTTTATTGCTAGGACTCATACTTGGAGGATAGATTAAAATTAACAAGAAATGGGGTAGAAATTAGCTTACAATCTTGCACGTTAAACCGTCATAAGATTTTCTTTAAATAATTCTTTTGTGAAATCCAAATCTTCATATTATTTACGTCTCGATGAATTTACATCCGTAGAATCTTATTTATCGGTCCCAAGTCCTTCATTTCAAATTCTCTAGCTAATTGTGCCTTTAATTATTTAACACAATCTTTGTTGGGCTTAATACCAATATGTCGTCTACATACAACAACAAGATAACAAAATCCTTTTCACCAAACCTTTTGAAGTATGACTAAATTACGTCTACTCGTATCCAAAACGCATAATGAATTAATCAAATCTCTAATACTAACACATTAATGCTTGTTTTAGACCATACAAAGATTTGTTTAACTTGTAAACCAAGTTCTTTTTCCTTTTTTCTTCAAAACCTTTTGGTTAGAGCATATAAATTTCTTCTTCAAGATCTTCATGAAGAAAAATTATTTGTACATTTAATTGTTCCGAGAGGTAAATCAAACATAATATACATTGCCCAAACTACTAGGACTATTATTACTCGAACCACAAGGGAAAATATTTCATTAAAGTCAATTTCTTCTTTTTGAGCATAAACTTTCACCACTAATGTTATACGATATCACTCTACTTGATCATTAGCATTTTGCTTGATCTTATAAATCCATTTATTTTCGATGAGCTTTCTTACTTATGGTAGTAACACAAGTTTCCAAGTCTTATTCTTATGAAGAACTTCAATTTCTTCCTGCATTTTTGCCATCTAAATAGATGCATTTGAGTTATTTATTACTTCTTGAAGAGTTGATGGCTCTTCTTCCTTTATTAAAATACAATATGCAACATTGTTTTTCATAATTTCGTCTAAATGCTAATCAAGTTGTTTTTTATTACAATCGGACCAACGGGATTCTAAAACTTCGGACTCGGTTGGTTTCGTAACTAATGCTTTGGTGTTGCTTTGGAGGAATTCTTTTGTTCGGGATCTCTTTCCATCTATATGATTGCGAGCCTTTGAATTTTTTGTTAAAGTGTTATCATATCCTTCCTATGGTAGTTGATTTTTTACAAAGATAACATCATTGTTGATTGTAAACCCTTAGCCGATGGAATCTCACGGAAGATACCCTATCACTCTATCAACATACCCCAAGAATAAGCATTTTCTAGATTTTAGATCCAGTAGTGTTTTTTTTTTTTTTTTAGGTATTATACATCATGCATGCTCGGAATTCCAAATATATTAATGTTTGAATAATCAATTAGTTTATCAGTCCACATCTCTTTTAATGTCTTCAACTCAATTACAATTGATGGAGCTCGATTCACCACATAACGGATGGTATTGATCTGCTTGTACTTAAAAGAACTTGCCTAGATCTATAGTTGTTAGCATTGCTCTTGTTCTTTCTAATAGAGTTTTGTTCATCCACTCTACCGCTCTATTTTGTTAAGTGTACGCCACAATGAACTTCTTTTTATACCTTTTTGCTTATAAAAATCATCAAATCCGTCACTAATGTATTATTATCCATTATTTGTCTTCAAACACTTGATCTTCTTTTTAGATTCAAGTTCAACCCGCACTTTATAAACTTTGAAGATTGAAAACACATTTGTCTCTCTTGATAGGATACACCCGAGCATCTTTTAGAACAATCATCAATTAAGGACATAAAGTACTTTGCTCATTCCAAGGATGGAATTGGTACTTGTCACACATTAACTAATTCTAGAATAGCCTTACTTCTAAAATTTGATGTGTTGAACTTCAAACAATGCGAGCTTATTGATAATACAATGCTCACACAAAGGTAAAAAGGTCTAGAAGTAGCTTTTCTTGAGCAAGGATTTTCATTCCTTGTTCGGACATATGTCTAAGTTTCGATGCCACCTCATTGCGGATCTTTCACTTGAATTGTTTGAAGTAAACGATGCTTCTATTTCTTGCAAAATCTCTTCCTTCAACATGTATAAATTTGCAGTTATCTTTTCTCTCTTCATTAGTACAAGCACACCTCGAATTATCTTCGGGATCTCGTTCTCGGCATTGATCTTACACCCAAGATCATCCAATTGTCCTATAGACAACAAGTTTTTCTTCAAGCCCTCGACATGTTGCATTCTTTGAATAGTATGAATTGTACCATTATACATCTTGACCTTGATGGTTTCAATACCGATGATCTTTAGAGCATGATCATTGCAACCATAGACAAAAGTAGATTTTATCATTCTAAGACTAAAGTTTTCTCTTAATCTTAACCTCTTTTGTTATCTTTTTTTCCTTTATACTTGTAATATCCCATCTGCTAATGCCATATAAAGATTTGTAATAACATTCTTATCCATTTTGTTCCACTTATTGTCATATGCGGATTCAACCAACTTCGTCACTAATAGTTGTTAGGCAATTATCTTTTTACAAGATAGCTTTCATCTTTAACTTTCACAATGAATGACCATTCCCGTTGAATTTTTTAATCTCAAATTTTACCGTCATTGCTTCTATCATAAATTGATTTGAGCTCCTATTATTTTACATGAATAGTGTCATATGTATGAATAGTATCTATATGTGTAAATAGTATCCAATACCTTTAAAAAGTAAATAATAATCTAACCTACTTTCTAATATGGAGGATCCACTATTTAAAGCATGTGATAAGTAGTTATACACACTCAAATCAAGCTCGGACCTCTGCCGCTACAAGACCTCTTTGAACTAAAGCTTTGATAACACTTATTATGAAACTAGCCGGATTAAAATAAGGTTGCAGCTCATAAATATGAGAAAATAAAAGAGAAATTGAACACATAAATTTTACATGAAAACCCCTAAACAAATCGAATAAAAACCACGAGAATGATAAAAATCCACCATGAAAAATAATAAGAGATACAAAACTTCTCTCAAAAAAAAAAAAAAAAAAAAACCTATATAACTAATTTATGAAATTTTTGTTATGGGATACTTGTGAACCGAGCTAAGGATGCCAATTTATAGGTCTTCCATGTGCGTCCATCACGTGAATGGACCACTTGTTTCAACCTCGTCTTTTTTTTTTTCCTAAAACCTTCTTGCTTATTCTTTACTTTTTTTTACTTCTTTTTCCATGTGTTTTTTTTTCCTCCTTGTTTCCACTCGTCGGCTAAGTGTTGAAAGAGTAAGCATATCTAACTTTAATGTCGAGGATACTCGTCGTAAATGCTACAAAGGAGACTTCACCTCCTCAACTTAAAAATGGAGAGAGAAGTCTCACAAAGTATTTGTTGCCTTTGAAGAGTGCCTCATAAGGATGGAAGAACACCTTACCGATCCTAAGGAGATACTCGATGAGATAGAAAGAGATGATGAAGAAGAAACACTAGGCATGACAGAGCCTACATGAGGTGCTCTCCGATCTCTAAACTCGAGTTGAGTCGGTTGAGAGATATGCCAAAGAGAGACCTGTCGAAAAAAGATGTCTTTATGGAATGGACAAAGGAAATGTTCACACGAGCATTAAAAGTCTATGACCGGATATAAGCAAACTCTTGAATAGTTTAAAAGAGATTGACAATTTATCAAGAAGCCATTTCTAATTGTGTAATCTTGAGAGACACACTCGAAAGTTAAAGTGCTAAGACCAATGCACTTTAACTTTCATTATTAAAAAAGTTATAAACTTCATTTACATCCCATTTGCCAACGATAGTGCTTTTGATCTTGACATTTTAACTTTTGATATGTCCCTCAAGACTACACCATTAGAGATGGTTTCTCGACAAATTGTTCAATCTCTTCTAAGTTGTTCAAGAATTTGCTCATAGCCGATTATAAATTCTTAATGTTGTGTGAATATTTCCTTCATCCATTCCACAAAGGCATCCGTTTTGACAACACTCTCTTGGTCATACCTCTCAATTAACTCTACTCGATTCCGGAGATCAAAGAGCACCTTATCTAGGCCTATCATGCCTAGATTCTCTCTCATCATCTCTTTCTATTTCCTCCAGACTCTTCTTAAATTGACAAGGTGTTACTCTACCCTTACAAGACGCTCTTTAAAGGCAACCAATACGTCTCAAGACTTCTCCTTTTCCTTTTTAAGTTGAGGAGGTAAAATCTCCCTCTTAATGTCCACAACATCATCTTTGACACTAGAGCTAGACATATTTACTCTTTAAACACTTCGCTAGCACTTTAGCTTTAATACCACTTTGGCTTTGATGGAACCTTTTCTCGATCCCATTTGTCACCTTTTTACTTATTGTTAAAGAAAGTGGTAAAAGGTGAAGGATGCAAGGAAAGAAGAAAAAAATGTGATGCAATTCTATTTTTTTAAAAAAAAAAAAATCCCATTTTTCACTTTCAATTAGTCAAATGTTTGATTTTTTTTTTTTGAAAATCAAAGTGATTAACTAAGAGTATGTTAATAATCAATATTACACATCACCATATTTTTGTTTTAATAATTATATGTTAGATTATTATTTTTTTACATATTATTTTATTATTTTTAACTTATTTAAAACACTTCAGAGTCTAATAGTGATGATGGGATATCACATGACCCATTTTGTACATTTAGGATGAGATTTTTTTTAAAAAAAATAATAATAACATAAAAATTAAAAAGAAAAAATAATAATTTGATCTCACACTCTTTAAATTGTTTAAATTGAATCCTCAAATTCTTTGGATTTTTTTGATTGAATATCTCTATTAAGTTCTCACGTATAACACGTGTCATATATTTAAAAATAGACATATCACATCAATTCATAACTAAGAACGTTATAATAAAAAATATATAAATAAATAAAAAGTAGATGAACTCAATCAACAAGAAAAAAAATATAAGATTTCAACCAAAATAATTCGAAAAATAGAAAAAACATATAACGGGCACAACCCATTTTCTTATCCTAGGGAATCTCCATCCAAATCGTCTGTGGTTTAAGAGCCACGCTTACGGTTTTGTTTTCCGTCTCACAATAGAAACCAAACGCTAGATAAGAGTGAACGGTTAGAGGTGAGAACCTTTTGAGCTGTCTCCAATCACATGTTTGCTAGTGTAAAAGACCTAGCTTACATCACGTTATATATAAAATTGTGCATAACTGTCTTTATATGCATGAATTTGGCATTGCAAGTATAGAACATAATTGTCCCCTAGAGAAAAAGAAAGAACAGAAAAAATTTGTCTTTGTAATAAAACATGGCCAGCTATATCACCTGTCGCATCGGTTTGTATAGAGTTTTATGAAGTTTCTTTACAAATGATTTTCCTAACAAAAACTAGGTGCTTACTGCCCGCTCTAGACTTATTTTCGCACGCTTCTTACACAACCATAAAATATTCATCAGCTTATATCAAAGAGCCTACTCTGGCTTAGCAAAAAAATGGAACTAATGATATACGTTTAACAGGTTTGGAGGACTAAAGTTATATGGAATTGCCTTTGCAATAATAAGCTGATTCACATTTCACGCAAGGATTTTTCTAATTTCGGTCGCCTTAAACATTAGGTGAATTTTTCAGATGATATTCTCTTTCTTTTTACGAGAAAAGAAAGAACTTTCCTCTTAGAGATCTGACATCAATCAGTTAGTGATGTATATATATTTTGAAGAAAACAAAAGGATGCAAAAGAAGTTATCGCATATATCATACAGCAAACAAATAAAATACAATGCTAAAGAAAGAAAATGAACAAAGAAAAATGATTTATTAATTCAATTAAGAGGGCGATTTAAAACTGACAATTGACCAGAGTCTCCGTTCAATAAGAACACTTCTAGAGGAACATATGTAGAGTCCAATGATGATCCAAACCTGTATGTTGGTTGCAATAATTTACTGCCCTTAGCACATTGAATTGTTAGCAGACGTGGTCCAGTTCTCATCTGCCAGACCTGCATACATGGGCCAATGTGAATAACTTCAATCAAGCTCATATCTCAACTATACAATGTCACTGTGCAAATTGCAGTTTGTGTACTCATGATAATCTAGCAAGTGAAAGGTTATATTCCAGCCGGAAAGAAACAACAAGCAAACCAAAAATAATATTGGACTTTTAGACATATAATACACACCGGAACAATGCCTCCAAACCCTCATTTGGTGTCACATATTCATGGAAGATGAATTTCATTAGTCACAACATTCTCTTCTCTATCTCAGAAGCTCTATGGATTGTGATCATTAAGGCAAATCAGGCCTTGCAGTGGTGAAGGGAAGACTATCAGGCAAAGTTGTAACTAATGGTAACGTCCTCTGATAACTTAGATTTTAGTCACAGCTGGTATGCTATGTAGATGGATCCATAAAGGGCATTTTCTTCACTAAACAAACACGGAGGCCTATAAAGAATTCTTTGAGAAAATCAATAGCAAGGCAAAAGTTCTCCCGGATCAAATACAGGAAAATGAGACTATTGTCCTCTCTATTAGCTGATGAATTGGACATCAACTGATCACCTGAATTTGAAATAAATATAAAGCATTTTTAACAGGTAGTTATCATGGCAACAAAAATTATTCACGAGGTAGAATTTTCATTACTGCTGCTATTGCCACCTTGCCCACAAACAGGAAGAGATTTTGCAGCACCCAAAATCTAAAATGTAATCAAATCTAGCAACCTCTTTCTATATCAAATGTGTGTGACCTCTTTCTATTCTCTTTTCAATTGTAGAAGGCCTTTGTGTCCAATTTGTGAGCAAGCTAACAACCTTTCATCTGATCTCTTCTTTTTAATCCCTTCAAGTGTGAATATACGCATTGGTCATCTAACAATTGTATCAGTATATCTGTCAGTCAGGACGCAAGGACTAGAAACCATCACAATACTGATATCAAATTGCTGATTCTAGTTAGAGCTTAAGCCAATAAGGCAGATGTAGACCCAAGAAGAGAGATAGAGAGGGAGGCCTTTTACATTTATGATACATAGTCATCTCCAACTTTGAACACAATGATTTATCAAGAACAGTATTGTGGGATGAGGAAAAAAAAATTGAAGTGCTAAGCTCATCCACCATGTATGATGAACACGCAAAAGGTAATATACCTCAATGATTCCTTTCCGAGGTGCATGAATTGCTAGACAGAGGCAATAATCACTCTTTGATGGTTCATAGTAAGAGGAACTTGCCCCCGCACTGTTCTTATTAACTAGCATCTCCATAAACAGACAATTAGCATCACGATATCCCTGAGAAAAAATGAAGTCCAGTGTTACAGAGGAGAGATGTTGCCTTTGAAATATATTTGAACTTTGTGGACGCTGAGAGTAAACCTTCCATAGTCGCACCACCACCAGTGCATGAGTGTCCAATAACAATATACGACCAAGTGAATCTGTTATTGCAGCCAATGTTCCACTAGGTGATAATGTGAGCTTCTCACCTTTCCTTGGGTGATCCTTCAAACATGTTAAAGGAGAAGCTGTCACAAAATAATGGAGTAAATCATACAATTCATAAAAAAAATATAAAAAAAAGTAAATCATTCATGAAGAATTTTTTAACAGAGCATGCAAAGATGGTCTTTATAAGAAAACACTGCCAGTTGCCACAATCTTCTTTCACTAAACCATTACAAGACCATATGTTATTTAACTCATGGCCAATGAAGCCTCCATTCCAAACTATAATAAGAGGTCATTCAAAACGACCTGTTTTCTTTATTCAGTTTTTCCATAAGCAAAATAAAGTGAAGAATAGTTTTCTTAGGAAAAGTAGGAAAGAAAATAATATAAGCAAGAAAAGCAATAACATTGATATGTGGGAAGGGGGAGAAATAAGCGTGGCTGAATTACATAATAGGAATTAAAATAATTTTTTTCAACTAATCACACATAATTTGTTAGATGAACTAAACCCTACATCATCATAATTCAGCTAGGGAAAAGCAGCTTCCATTAATTCTTAGAGCGACTCTCTCATGCTTCAGAACAGCACTGAATATTACACAGAAAAAGGTAAAGGAGGATGTTAAAGACATGATAATTTATAAATATTTTCTTTTTATAAGAAGTACCATGAGTAAATGACAAGTTAAAGCCAAAACACAACTGAAATTAAGATAAAATAGAACCAAGTCGCATTACCTTTAGCAAACGATTGAGGCTTTACTTCTGACTTTTTGGTTGGTGTTCGGTCACCCCGCCATATCATTTTAGTAACAGAAGATAGAGTAGAGAATGCTGCAGGCACAACTTTTGACAGAATAGCTCCCACTAAAGACCTGCTTCTGTCTTCTGAAAGCCTTTAGCAGGCAGAAACAAATTTTGGTCATCATACGATTGGAAAGAAATTTGATCTGAAAATAGGAAATAACAAGTCAACAGGACAGCGAGGTGCCTAACCCACAGCACAAACCTATAAGCTGAAATCACAGCATCCTCTCCAATAGTGACTGCACGATAGTAACGTTGACTTGACTGCCCAACAATAAAAGCAGCTGAATTCAAATACCATATATAATCGATAAATCACCCGTAACATTACATTGCGATGTGAAACGAACATGAAACGCAAGAAAAGAAGGAGAAACAATATTTTGCGTAAACATATCTTAGAAGCCAGTATGATCATAACACAACATTAAAGCCACCAAAATAAAAGATCTTAAAAGCTCAATCAATCGAATGACTACCAAAGAAAAAGCAGCAACATTCATTAGCATAATAAACCCATGTGATCACCTGAATTTCCATTAGCGGAGGCGGCATTATTCCAGTTATAGCTGCATCAGCACACCACCCAAATTTATCAACACTCCACAACTGATGAGGCAATCTCTTAAAACCATTTCCTAACTCCTCATAATCTCTCCTTTTCGGCTTTTCATCCCAAAACTGCGAATTCGTTTCTTGAAGCCACTCTTGCAATATATTCTACAATAAAAACAACAGCAGTCTCATACCTTACTAATTGCAAAACTAACAATCGCGAAATAAAAAACAATGCTACCACTAATACCCGAATATCAGCGCCATCAAATCGAGCAATGACGCCCGGCATAACAACCGAAACCTCCTCATTGGACCCATCTTGACTACTCATAATATCTTTTTTAGTTCCACGGACTCTTAATTTCAGTATACGCCCAGGATACACCAACTATTAAAAAAACCAACCAGAAATAAATAAATTTATCATCAAAAAAAATTAAACAGAGTTTAAGAGAAACAAGGGATTAGTTATTTTGAAAGACCTGTCTATGAATTAGAAGACCATCCAATGAATAAACCATGAAATACCCACGTGAAGTGCCGACTGCTATCACTTTAATCTCGTCAAACACTAGCCATTCTAAAGAAGAAATGATTTCGGATTCGATTGGGGATAATTCGGGTCGGATCTTGAGTCGGGGCCCATCGTCCCACCCTGTGATTAAGATTAAAGACCGATTTGCAAGAGCGAGAGAGTGAGTGTCTAGAGCGCATAAAAGGTTCGGGTTTTCTACGAGCCATCCTTCCTTGCCTGCACCGAGGTCGGTTAGCTCCTCGCAGGCTATGCAGCCGAGCTCCGTCGTGTGACTTCGCTTCAACGACATTCGTTCGATTTTTTGGTATGGTGATCCGTTTTTGGGTTGCTTGCATCATCCAAAAGGAAGGAAGAAGAAGGAGAAAAGAAGAAAAGGATAACGTGCATTTTAAATACTATAGTTGTATCAATGTTTCATTTAGGTCCTTATTTCAATATCTTACATTTAACAAATTTAAAGATACCAAACCTCACCAACACACAGAATAATTTAATTGTAATTATCTCTTTTGTTAATGTGAATTGTTCGTATTTTCATTGTTCGCTGTATTCATCATTTTTCAATTCTACTATTAATTCATAGTTTTCAAAAAAGTTTTAGAGTAGTCCTTGCTTAGTTTAAAGGTAGAAGAAAGCTATGATAAAAACAAAAAATAATGTAAAATAATATGTTAACGGGGTGAAATTGATTATTTTAGGAATATATGGTTAAAAGGATAATTGTATTATTTCAAGAAAAAAGACAAAAGAGTAAAGGGCATGTGCAAAAAAAAAAAAAAAACACAAAAGATGTGGATAAATATGGATGGATAATTGGTTTAATAATTAAAAAAAAATAGAAAGCATAATTATAATTAGCAAATATACATTTTAGCCGCTCTATAAAACTATTAAATTTTTCTCCTAAAAACAAGTTTTTTAAAAAATAGAATTTGAAATTTTTTTATGGTTTGTATTATTTTATATTCTAGTAGACATAACTTAATTTTAACTATAAAACCAAAAAAAAAAAACTAAAAGATAGATAAATATTTTAGACCTATGCCAATTAAATAACTAATGAAAATTAATAACGATGTTACTTTGTTAACTAGTTTTAAAGCATTCATAAGATTTTAGGAAATGTTATTTTATAAAACAACTACAAAATAGGAATGTAATAATTTATAATGTTATCACAAGACATGTGTTATGTATAAACTATTATCATTTTCTTTTTCTTTTTTTGTAATATAATTATAGTACTATACTATCAATAAAAAATTCGCATTATTAATAAGAGATAAGGAAAGAGAAAATTATTGAGAACGAAAGAAGAAAGATTGAAAATTTACTTGCTAACAATTCGATTCAATGAACGTACATCACCGCATTTCAAAAACTCTAAAGTTGAGAAGTTTGAAATAATAGAGATGTAAATGAATTGTTTTTAAACTATAATGGACCAAATACATTTTGATGAAGAAGTTACAGTCTTAGCTTTTTGCGAGGCTTCACAAAGAAACGATGTCGTTTATTTTACAATTAAAAAAAATAATAAATAAATAAAGAAACGACCTCATTAATTGAATTATAATTATCCGGGATCCTTCTATCTTTCTCGCTTGATCCGAAAGTCTCCAGATGTTGCTACATCAGAGCCTCTCCTTCTCTAAAACCCTAAACCCCAATTTCTCGCCGTATCTTCTCTATCCCAAAACCCTAACCCTAAAACCCCAATTCCTCTGTACCACACTCTCATTTTCCAGCGATAACGCCCAATTTTCCCGCCGAAATGCCTCTCTCCGCCGAGACACCCGCTCCTTCGCCGGCCGGAGCAAGAAGGAAGCGGGCGGACCATCTCCTGGTCGAACCGGAGGTTACCGCAGACCGAAGCGAAAAGCACGCATTAGAAGCGTAAATATAGAGGAATACCCTTACTTCCGGCTGAAAAACTCCAACAAAAACCACCCAGATAACTTGACGGAGGACCAATTGAACCAAATTGGTCTTGGGTACGATTACATGGCCCGGTTCATGGACAAAGATGACCCAAATTTAAAACACCCGCATGATTGGTACCGGTATGGAGAGCACGGTCCTTATTCATGGCGAGGTGTGGTTGTTGGTGAACCAGTGTTAGGAGGGATTACCGATGAGTGTGTGACATTATATAGTGAAGTGAAAGATGATGCAGAATGGGATAAAATTGAGCAACATGAAATGGCTGTTGATTTTGGAGAGAGGTTGAAACAAATGAATAAAGAAGCTGGGTTTCGGCATTTTTGGGTTTTTGTTAGACACCCGAGATGGAGGTTAAATGAAATGCCGTGGGAGCAGTGGACTTTGGTAAGTGAAGTTGTGATGGAGGCGGGGAAACAGCGGTTGGATAAGTGGAATTTGATGGGGAGGCTAGGGAATCAAGCAAGGAAGTTGATTACGCGGTGTGCTGCTTGGTTTAGGCCGGATATTATTTATGTTAAGAGGCCGGTTTTTCAGTGTAGGTTTGAGCCTCAAGATCAATTTTTTAGGGGGTTGATGCCGTTTTTGGATCCGGAAACGGAAAAAGATTTTTTGTTTGAGTTGGAGAATGAGGACGGGAGCGTGCAGCTGTGTACCTATTATGAAGGGCTGTGTAAGATTGTGAAGGTGAGTCAGAAGGCGTTTGTGGATGATGTGGTGAATGCCTATGAGAAGATGAGTGATGATAGGAAATCAAAGTGTTTGGGGTTCTTGTTGGTGAATCATCCAGTGCAGTTGTTGCATCCGTACACAAAAGAGTGGAAGGCTAAGTTGGAGGAAATGGAGTTAGGTTGTGATGCACCAGATGATGAGGAGGAGTATGGGAAGAATGAAACTGAGTACACTGAGTGGATCGAGGATAATGGTGATGGTGATGATCAAGATGACGTGGTTTTGGACAGGGAAGAAGGTGGAGTTGATCGAGATGATGATGGCGATGATGGTGAATTGGTAAGTGAAGAAGAAGATGATGAAGAAGAGAATGAGCAGTATTGGGAGAAGAAGTTTAGGAAAGCATTGAGTAGTTCTGAAGAGATGGAGAATCTTGTGAAATGGAGTGTAGACAGAACTGATGAGCTTTATAAGAAGCAGTGGAAGGCCATGCAGGGGGAAGAGAAGGGGAAAAGTGAAACGGATGGAGATGAGACTGCATTGAGAGGCGTTAGAGCTAAAGTGAGTCCGAGAGAATGGAAGATTGCAGGGATTGGTAGATGGGGAAGGAGGATCAAGAAGGCTCAAATGCCTCCGGGTTTGTTTCTGAGAGCAGCAGTGCGACCTTTTAAATATAGGAATCTAGTCAAGGAGATTGTTTTGACAAGGCATGCAATCCTAGATGGTGACATCGGTAAGAAGGAATGAAGCACTGGGTCTGCGGATTGTTGTTTTGTGGAAGTAATCCTCTTCTGTGAGCAGTTATGAAGTTTCTTTGCCAAATCCAACTGCACATTGCTCGAGTCTTTGTGAAGTGCAGAGAGCATGTAAAACTAGGAAAATTTTGGTCCAATTTTGTTCAGAGTAGAGAATGCTGAACTCTTTAAGTTTATCAAATGTTGTATGGATAACCGCATGATGATTGTAACAAAGTTATAAAATGTTGTATGTTGTGATTCCACAGAAATTACACTGCCAAGTACAGAGTATGAGAGCATTGTGTTTCTAGTCAATGGCTCTTCAAACAGAGATTTTCCTTGAAAGCTTTCTCGTAAATTATGTGTTTAATAATTTCCAGGATACCATACAGATGAAAATGGCTCTTGATGAGGCAGGTAGTCTAGGTAGTAGAGGCATAGGATGGCTTTCATTGCTCTAATGCATAAAGCAAAAACCCAAAGAAGGAATGACAGAGCGGGGTGCGCAGGATCTGTTGTCGCTAATTTAGTTTGGTGTTTCTGTAAGAAGTCGAAAAAAAAAACAAATGTTGTTGCTTGCATGATTTTGAAAGGCTCTCTATTTTTTTCCATCGACCGGTTAAGATAATTTTCTAAGTTGGACAAGTATTAAGCAAAATTCTGTAAATTATGGAACTGTTTACTACTGACCAGTTGCATTTTTAGACAGGTAAGACATCAACTCACTCCCAATCCTCTAATAATCGCTTGTTGCACCCCGAAATAGGATTTGAATAATCACGTTTGGCATAGAAAGCCAGATGTCATGCATTCTTGATAGAATCTTGCTTGCTTTCCTCCTTTAAAAACCCAAATCCAGAGCGAATAGTGTGGTACCATTATTCCAGCACTTCTAACTTGGTAAAAATCTGTGGAAATGGATAGCCAGCAGCTCCATCAAAAAAGGGCCATTGGTTTTCTGGCGAAAGGCGAGTATAATCACAAAATTAGCTCAACCAGCCGAATTCAAAACTGAGTTAGCCTCTCCCAGTTGTTAATGTTTTAACCATGTTTAGTTTTGCACATTCTGCCATAAGCTTTTAATAACTGCCATTGAAGAGAGAGAGAGTTGGCATGAATCAATCCAAAGCATATCAGCAGCTTTTAGTACGTAAGAACCAAATACATTAGTGAAGCTGATTACAACTTCGATTCTGGACCTTTACTAGTTAGTCATACATCAGGAACCACTGCGTCTCTAACCAAAAATTCTTAGACAAAGTAGTCTTCAGGGACATGGAATTTCAATCCAATGACCTGCATCCAGGACGAAACTCATAATATAATTCATGAGCAAATCATTGAACCAGTTGTCAACAGTAAGCAAAATGAAATATTAACCAATTTCCATTACTAATCCAGCCATTTAAAAATTAAAACATAAAATGTAAAGAGAAAAATAAAGGATAATTTATTCAGGACACAACAATAAATAATCTTCTTTGGATGATCACAGTATATGCATAACTAACAAATCTAAATATACCTTTGCAAATTCTAAGTCAGCATCACTATGATCATTAGGTCTCCCTGCTGCATCCCCAACATAAAAGGATCTACAAACACACACAATAAGAAACAATATCAAATCACGATTCTGGTTCATAAAATAGTCACACTCTATAAATCCACAGCTAGATAAGATTGTCGATGGGAGTAAAGATAAAATAGCCTCAAAACTCCTTCACATGTTGATAGTGAAATCTTATACAGCCAAAAGGCCCCAAATAAAGCAGTGAACAAATTAAGGGAAGCGGAAAATAACTGATCCATATCAATGGAGATGCCAGAGTTAAAATGTTTCTCCATAATCTGCCACATTCCAGGTTTGGGTTTGCGAAATGGATCTTCTACTTTACCATCATACCCACAAGCTATAAAAACCTGCAAGCAGACATTGCAAGTGAACTATTTCAATATGCTAATGATTCTTTTCACGTTTACACTAAATTTATTACCATCTATGTCAGACAAGGGATACAACATATCAGGATGGGAAGGGACACCCACATGATGAGAGTGTCGTGGTGAAATACAGATGAATAACATGTTTCCATATAAGTAACAGACTAGTCAAAACCATCATTCCTGACCAACAAAACATAGCCAGCAATAAAGATCTTAAAAGGCAAGAGAATTTTAACTGGCTAGTCATTTGTTCTCCTTGCAGCACTTAAAATAGATAGAACCCTGCCCAGGAGAAAGAATCAGGCTGATCTAGGGCCATCCATATAACACTATCCTATGAGTCGAAATTTCAGAGGCTCCTTGTCAAGAAACTACCATTTCAGAATTGAAGAGTGGCCGTATAGTTCAGCACCAGAAGCAACTTTCTATCTTTGAGATAATATCAGAGAAGGTCAGGGAAGTCGAAGCTATCAATATCTTCGAAAGGGACTTAGTGCATTTGAAAAAACTGAGTAACACGTGTAGATATGGTTGAAAACTTTCAAACTACTATCTTATTTTGCTCTCAAACCATGTACTTAAACATGTGATGTTGCCTCAAGGCAAAAAGTCCTGGGCTTCATAAAGACAAATTAATGATTGCCACATCATACTATAAGTCGAAAGAAATTCTATCAAAAGAACAAAATAATAATACAGGTCAGCAAAATGAACAAACCTGGATGGGAACCTTCACACGCTCGATGAAGTTGTTTAGGCGTCCAATTTTTGAGTCTACAGCTACCTGCCTTTTGTTCTTCCAGCGATCAATGTTGGATTCATTTGTGAATATAACCTAAATATGATATAAACGACATTTTAACAACATAAGCAAATTAATGGGCACAAAATCAGGCAACAAGGTACTGGAATAATAATGTTTTTAAATCAAATTTTAAGACAAAAGGCCTTTGCAAGAAAACAGACAAACCAGCTTGAAGCCATCATTATATAACCTCTGCAGCTTGTCTGGTATTGAGGGGAACATGAGAGACCAAGCATCTGCACCTACTCTGAAATCAAAGAAGCGTTATGAGGCAACCCATTAGGTTCCCAAATTGATACTTCCAATGCAATGGAAATTCAACATAAGACTCGGAAGCTGCTACTCAAAGAAATAGAGAACCAAAGATTCCAACTTGAAAACTCTGCTCAAGAGCCTGGTCAGTAAAACTGATATTGGAAGCAATTAATCACATGAAGCAAAAGGGAGAAACACAAGAAAATACAACTTTTATAGAAATCTGGAAAAGCAAAAACTGTTCAATTGAAGACTCAAAAAGAGGATGCATACCTCTTGACGGATGTTTTTGCAAGACAGCCATCAAAATCAAATGCAGCAATTTTATTCGAATCATGGAGACCATCATCCTGCAAAATTCTTTAGATAAGGCTTTATGTGCTCCCCAACAATGACTCGCATGCACAAAAATAAAATATGGCATATTCAATCTGAACAACTAAGAAAAACGCTTTAGACTTTTTTTACTCATGCATATAAAAGAACTCTACACCTTCAATTCAAGAAGGTGAATACAAGCAAACAAAACCACAGACAAATGTCCTTTTTAGTTCTGTTTCCTTGGGCGATGCTTTGAACCTTGAGGTGTATAGAAGTTCAGTCAATCTGCAAGGGTGTGCAGTGTGGCTGCATGTAGGTGCTTTGAACCTTGAGGTGTATAGAAGTTCAGTCAATCTGCAAGGGTGTGCAGTGTGGCTGCATGTAGGTGTGTCTTAGCAGCATTACCCAGAAATAAGGCCTAGAACTCACCCGTTCACGAAATATAACTGTCTGAAATGCCTTCCATTTTGGTAATAATGTAGCATCCTGAATCAAAAGGAAAGCATAAATGAGTAAGACTTTTCCAAACATGGGAAAGGCATATAAACAGAAACAAAAGAAAGTTATTCGCGAACAAGAAGTCAGAAAAAAACAACAATACACATTCAGAATATATCTTACCTTATAATTGTCACTACAATCGGATAGCAAAAAGGCTTCGACCAGGTTGGCTTCCTCAATAGCTGTTGAAAACTAGGAGCGATGATGTGCAAAATAAAATAAATAAATGTCCAATTGATACTGAAAGTTGTATCAAGAAAAATAAACTACCAAAGGAATATGCCAACAAATTAAGCAAGGACTTTCTACCTTAGTTTTCTTTGCATTCCTTTCCTCCAGTTCACTTTCTTGCGCATCTGTTCTCTGAATCAGGATATGCAAAAGATATCAGTAATACAAGTACAAGAACACAAACATATAGATAGCTTAGTTTTAAGATATCCACATGCCCTCGATACCTTGGAACTTTTCTGTTTTTTTCAACATCTTGACCTCCATTTGAAGCCTGTAATGTTGGCATAACTGTTGCTTAGAATTGATAGATGCTTATAGAATAACCCTCTAGAGTGCAACCTGTACATCCCATCACACATTCCTCCCAACATATAAATGAAAAACAGCATGCTAACCACTGAAATCCTTTGGCATTTTTTATATGTTCATTTTAACTTAATCCAGCCAAAACCACATATACCTTTGTCAACCCCAAAAATTTTCCATCAATATTTCGCTTAGATTTTTTTTTTAAGTTCAACAATAAAAAGTGAAAATTCCTAAAAAGAACAGGTACTTAAAATGAGAATTTTCGTCTTTAGTCTCTCAAGCTGGATCAGATAAACACAGCAAAACTAATAACCATGGCAATTACAACAACTATCATCAAGGTCATAACAAACCCTAACTAATATAATCATCATAACTGCCCCATTATAATAAAATCAGCTACCATGACAACAAACCTAACAACATTATCTACTGTCCGTATTCACATGGAAGAGCATCAATAAAAATTAATTCATACCTGTTCCACCAATTTCTTCAAAGCAACCCTATCACAACTCTGCAAAAACATGATCAAACGGTTAAATTATCGGTTTCCATTAAGCCTTTATCTTCTTTTTCTAATTAAAATTAAATAACATAAAAACCCCCAAAAGCCCACAAAAGCCCTAGAACCAAGAAACAACCTGGAGAGAATCAAACCCCCCAATGAGCTCGGTAGACTCAATCTTGTCAGAGAAGCAATCCAAGTGATACCATTTGGTCATATCAAACCCTCTTGAGTCTCTACTGATCAAACCCAACCTGAGGGCCTTAGCAGATATCGTTTTCAAGCATGTCTTGCATGATGACCTGTTCGATTTCGCGTACTCGGCGATGATTTTGGTTTTTGAAGAAGGAGGCATTGCTCTTTTAGGGTTTTGGAGACTGAAACAAAGACTAGTGTGTTTTGAGCGTTTTTCAATACTGAAATGCGAAAGGAGAGAGTTTTTGGTGTTGCGGGGGAGAGAGATACAGAAATGGAAAATAGCGAGCATAGGAAAGTTGGGTTTTTTCGGAAGCCAATTAGTCAGTGGGCTTAGCTTCAACGACTTCCCGCCAAGGAGCGAATCGAGCTAATTGTCGTTATAGAGATTGTAGAGTAACCCCTAATACATTACTTCGTTATCTATTGAGTCTCAAACTCTTAAATTTTATTAATTTTGTCTCAAATGTAATGAATATCAGACAACGTCACCCTCTAATCCATTCAATATTAATGATAGTTAAAACATATTTTTCAGTTTACATGTTTTGTTATCCAAGACACCAGATAAGTCTCAATATGCTATAAAAGGCCATTTTAGTATAAGTTATATTTTCTTATTTTCCTTCGCTTCACAATTTTAGCATCGAGTCATATTTATGTATTTTTATTCTTGGAGTAAAATATAATTTAGCTTCTCATTTAGAAAAACAAATTATTTGGTCTTCTTAATTTTAAAAACTAATTTTTTAGTCTCTCACTTTTAAATTGCCTTAATAACTCCGTTGATCGTTAATAAAGTGATGATGTGTCTTTATCTAAAAATATTTTATTTTCGAATAACATTTTTAATGATATATAAAATTGAAGACAAATTCTAAAATTATGCTTCTCTTCTTCCCTTTCTCTTCTATTTTCTCGTTTTTCTTCCTTAAATTTACAGTTTCTATTCTCTTTTACTTGTCTTCTTCTATTTCTTTTTTCCTACTTCTCACATTTCTATTTCTTAAATCCAATAGCTTATTTCTATTTCTTAAACTCAATCTCTAATTTTGTGTCTCCTCTCTATTTATATACTATAGTCAATAATGTCTAGTCAAAGTAAAGCCGAGAGTGGATGAGATGGTAGTAAATTGACGGATCCGCATTGATGATATATTAATAATGCATTCGGATGTCAAAAGAAGAAAACAAGTGATATCGATTGAAGCCTTCCTTCAACATGAGGAGTTCCCTAAAAGTGTTTGTTGTTAATTCGCATATTATGTTTATCTAGTATGATTATGAAATATGCTTATACTTATAAGCAAAACAAGGTTACTCTTGGTATAGTAAGTGGTTTTCTTTTGCAATGTAATAGTGTTTGACGAGTTAAATAAGTCTTATAGGCTTGTATTGTAAAAATACTGTCTTGAAGATTTAATTGATGCTGCAGCTTGGTAAGCATGCAAGCAACTTGGTACTTGCTTCCTTTGACAAATTGTGACTTTTGTATTATTGTGTGAAGCCTCTAAAGGGAGCTATTTTTTCATTTGCTATGATTTAGACTACATGCTACTACATCAAATTTTGGATAAAATAATTGATCGTAATATTCTTATTAAGAGGGGGGGATATTTTATGTATTAGATATAAATTTGACAGATTCATCAATAACTTCAATGGAAGAGAATAAAAGATTAGTTTTTTAAAAAAAAGGACTAAATAATTCATTTCTCTAAAAGAGAGGGACTAAATTATATTTTACTCATGATTATTGTTTCTTTTTTTTTTTTTCTTTGCTTACTTATGTTTTTTATGATATTTATATGTTTTTTCTAAAGAAAAAAATTCATTTCTTAAGCCATTTAATTTAATTTCTTGATGAAAATGTTTAACTTAAGTCATGTATTTGATGGTAATTTTACTACAAACAACACAACAATGCATTATCAAATAGTTTACTCATAATACAACGTATCATTTCATTATCAAACTCGTTTAATGTGTTTAATTCAACACCAAACAAACTCACTAAAATACCAACATTGATGGACGAATAGGCCATGATATTATTATTTTCTTTTCTTTATATTATAATTTACTTATTCTTATAAACTACTCGCATTTTCCTTCCTTTTGCTAACGAGTTTCGACCTTGTTTAAGAAACTTGACAAGATAGATTATAAATAGAAGATCACGACAGATGGAAGAAGAAATTAAGTTAATTGAGAAGGAAGACAAAAGCGACTCTTACTATTATTACAATTTGAAATAAATAAATGAATTAATAAGGATATAGGAGGAGGCAACGACAAGTTTTAATCATAAGGGTTTCTTCGAGTTTCTTGCAAGGTATTGACGACAATTCAACTTAGTTCAATTTTTTTTTTTGTTTTTTTTTGTTTTTTTTAAGATCGCTTCACTATTGATCATTGTATTAATGGTTGCATGAATTCTTCTATTATTATTTTTTATCGTCTTATTCTAATTTTTTCAAGTTCGTCCTTCTACATTTGATTTTTATCTTAATCCCTATCATTATATCGTGTTGATCAAATTTAAATAAATAAATTTTGAAACATAAAAAAAAAAAAAAACAGAAAAATAGGTGAAAATATATCATGTCATTCTCTCTAAAAGCTGAAAGAAAAAAATAAAGTTAAAAATATTTTTTATCCAAAATATCTTAATAGGGTTAAATTTATCTCTATCATAGTACACAAATTATGAGTATAAAATAAAAATATTTATAGTATTTTTTAAATATGAAGATAATTTTAGTTACAATTTTAAATTTTTGAAAGATATTTATAATTTTATAATACCTCAAAAAAATCTTTTATAATTTACTTATTTTTATTTTATAAATCTCTTAATTTGAATCAAAAGTTGGAATATAAAATTTCTTAATAGTTTTTAAGAATATAAATTTTATTTTAAATTTTGGGTTTTTTTAACATCTAAACAAAGAGCTCCAATGCAAACTACACAAAGATTTATATTTTTCACTTTTTGAGTCAAATTAAAAAAAAAATTATAACAAAATATAAGAAATTTTTGGATAAAAAATTTTCATCGGATAATGATCAGATATGTCTTTTTTATTTCAATTTTTTTCCAAATTTTTTTTGCTTAAATTTTGGTATAAAAAAATAGAAAGATGAGATTAAGACGGAAGAAGTTGACACATATAGCAATTCTATTAAGCTAACAATGCAATTTAACACCGTTAGCTTAAAAAATTAATAGAATGACAAGATTAAGATAGAAATCAAACATAAAAGGACGAACTTAACACGAAAAAAAAAGATAAAAGAACATGATAAAAACAAAACAAAAAGTAAAAAAACATATGCAATTGCTAACCCGTTAATCATCTTATTATTCTCTCAAGGCTAACCGTATCTTTTTTTTTTCTATTTAATAAATTTTTTCTTTGATTTATATTTTCACTTTTGAGTCAAATTAAAAAAAAAAATTATAACAGAATATATAAAAAATTTCATCTTCACTTTTTTTTTTTCATTTTTAAAGAATGATCGGATATATCTTTTTTTCTTTTCAAATTTTATTTATTTAAATTTGGTATAAAAGATAAAAAGACAAGATTAAGACGGAACAAGTTGACACGTGTAGCAATTATATAAGGCTAAGATGTAATTTAACACCATTAGCCTAAAAATCAACGAGAAAAACGAGATTAATACGAAACCAAACATCAAATGACAAAATTAATAATAAAAAAAAGTAAAAGAACTTGATAAAAAAATAAAAAGTAAAAATACATATGCAACTATTAACTCGTTAATCATCTTATTATTCTTTCAAGGTTAACCCTACCATTTTTTTTCAATTTAATAAATTTTTTCTCTATTTTCTTTTTGTATTCTTATGTCATTATGATTTGTGCATTATTCTCTTGTGTGTGTGTGGGTGTGTGGGTGGGTGTATTGTAATTTTATTTTATGTACATTACTGCACGGTAGAATGGTAATTAGATTTATGGGTCATTTTAATTTGATTTAAATTCGAAATAAAATTAATTATTATTTGAAGCTAAAAAAAAATGTTGAATTTTCTTTTTTAGGTGGGAAAAAAATAGTTTCTTTTCTTTTTCTTATCGCTAGATATTTCTTAAAAATTGCAATGCTATTGATTTTGGTGATTTATGCTTTGTAGATAGTGCAACAACGCATATTATACTTAGAAATAAAAAGTATTTTTCCATTTAATAATGGACGAACCAAATGTTAATATTATATTTGGTAGTATCAATTTAATTAAAATATCTAAAAAAAACGAATATATTATTGCCTAAATAGATAAATTTGACTATAAATGATGCCTTATTCTCTTGTAGGTTCAATAAAAAATTGTCAAGTTTCAAAAACATTCGTCTAAATGGATATCATATCAAAAAATTATCAAGTTTCAAAAATATTTGTCGAAATAGATATCATATTGAGACAACAAAATGTAAAAAGTATTGAATACTTATACATTACAACTATTACATCAAGTAGAAAACATGTGTTGGAGAAATTATCTACTTTTTTATTCGGCTTTTATTGTAAAAAAATTCGAATGATTAAAATAAATGTTATAATAAATCAGAAGTTTAATAATTCAAATATTTTTATAAGGTGACATGACCGTTTAAGCCATTCTAGATCCATTATGATGCAAAAAATTATTAAAAATTTATATGAAAATCGATTGAAGAGTCAAAATATTCTTCAATCTAATGAATTATCATGTTGTATATGTTCATCACTAAGTAAAATTAGAATTGAATTTTTTGTATTTTTAGAATGTATTCAAGATGATATATGTAAGTCAATCCATCTTCTATATAGATCATTTAAATATTTTATAATTTTAATAATTGTATTCACAAAATAATCATATATATGCTTATTATTAATTCGAAATATGAGGTTTTTATATTGCTTGCTCTTTTCTAAAATAGCAATAGAACATAAAATATAATTTATAAAAATGGAGAATATAAAATGTTTTTGCCTAAAAGGTAGGACATTTCCCAGGCATTTTTTTTTAATTAAAAAAAAAAAGTCGAGAGTGGCTGCCACCTTGTACAAACCGAAGCAGAAGCTCTTGCTTGTCTCCAAACCAATGTAGGACTCATCAAACTTCTAATACTCTAATCTTTCCCTCTTCTACTTACTGCAATATGCCACCCACCAACCACTCCCACATAAGATGGAACGCCTACGTCCCCTGCTTTCCACTCAAAACGATTTATTCAACGCCACCTAATAAATTTCATCCCCTAAATTCCACTAAAATAGCAACACGAATCTTCTTCTTCCTTTTCACACCAAAACTTTGCAGCGAATCAATCAGTCTTTGCGATCCATGAATCCTTACGAGAGACCCTTGACCTCATATGAACAAACACTCAGAGATGAGGTTATTTATCTTCACTCTCTCTGGCACCAAGGCCCTCCTACCCCAAACCCTAATCCTAACCCTAACCTTTACCTGCCCAGTTATGGAAATTATTCTTCAAGAAATCTCCACGTATCAAATCCTACACCCTTCAAAAAGACCAACAGACACAAACCCAAATACCAAAAGGCCAACAATGTCGCCCTATCGGGGTTAGTATCCGACCCGGGTCTAGAATGGCCTGTCAGCTCGCCACAGCCATCTCCTCCTCAATCAGGTTCTGGGTGGCCCGGATTCAAGTCCAACCCGAGTCCCTTAACCCGTCCCGTTTCTGAGGTGGACCAGGGCCCGGTTGCTGCAATGCGCATGCAGCAAAAGGTTGTCAAGTGTTGCAATCAGTTTTTCGTTAAAAGGGTTGATTTAGATGAAAATGGAGATAAAGAACTGGAGCAGGTTGATGGGGATGAAGGCTGCCCGGGGAATGACAATGTTGTTGAAGAGAGCGAAGAATTTAAGTTCTTTTTGAGTTTGTTTGTGGAAAATAAAGAAATGAGAGATTTTTACGAGAAGAACACTGAAAGTGGGGATTTTTACTGTTTGGTTTGTGGAGGGATAGGAGAGAAAGTAGGGAAAGTATATAGGGGTTGTACGGGCCTTGTTCAGCATGCAAGAGCGATTTCGAAAACAAAAAGGAAAAGGGCTCATAGGGCTTTTGGTCACCTTATTTGCAAGGTTCTTGGTTGGGATATTAGCAGGCTTCCTATGATTGTGTTGACAGGTGAACCTCTCAGTCGCTCATTGGTGAATTCAGGCCTAACTGAGGTATATAAACAGAAATTGTATGTATGGGTGTGTGCTCGTGTGACTCTGTGCGTGTATGAATAGCATATGTTTTATAGTGAATTCTGTGGTGTATGGGCTACCTTAATTGTTGTAATTTGGATGGAATATAAATGTTGCTGTGAATAATAATATTGGTGATGCTAATTGCAGAAATATTAAGAGACATTTGAGTATTGGGTTTCTGACTTGATGTGGATACAGGTGAAATGGTGGTTTGCAAAATTAATTATGCCTATTGTTGTACGCTATTTGTTTTGTAGAGTTTTATGGATTTATTCGGAATTTAAGGGTTTTATACAAGGATATTGTTCTTTAATTCTTGTGTTTGAAGCAAGGTAATGGTACCGAATGGATTGATTTTGATAGTGGACTTTCCAGTTTTAAAGCAAGTAAGGAGGAACTGCATATTTTTAGCTGAGATGAGCTTATTTGAATGGAGATGAAATGCTACTACGGATGTCCTTTACCTCCTGTGTTTTCTTTGATGTGATCATGGCTTTAGCCCATGTTTATAACAAACTAGATTTTCTCAAAACATTAAATTTTTTTAATTTGGTAATGAAATGATGAAGCTAGGATATTGTTTTTGTATTAAATGGAAACTTTACAAAAAGAAAGAAAATTGCATTGCCCGTTAAACAACAGCTTGTTTACATCTATTAATTGCATGTTATGGATGTCATGCTTTTGAGTTGTGTGGCTGAAAATCTCAGTCATGGCAAGAACGTCTGTAGAGTACAAGAGCAAGTTGGTCTTTCAGAAAATGCTTTCCATAAGTTATATCTTTGCCTCGTTATTAAGATAGTGCCTAAGTAGCATTCCCTTTAATTTCTCAAAGAGCTTTTTACGTAATCATTTTTCCCCAACATGGATAAACAAATGGGATTATGACTTCTTCTTTGCAAAGACCTACAATTGCAATTATGCAAAGAATTTAGGTGGTTTGTTTTGTGGGGGGTGTGGGTTGAGGAGTTGATGTTCTAGCTTTTATATGTGGCATCTATTATTTTTTCGTCTGATCTTTTGCTCTGCAGAATTTTTCAGATGAAGGCAATTGCAAAAAAGTACGTGCTGATCTTAGTAATGATGAGCCAAATATGGAAGCATATAAAGAGGGAGCCACAGAGTGTCCAGTAAGATGGCTGTTCTGCAACTTTGATGTGTAATTACAATTTATGGTTTCAGCACTTTTAGTATGATTCCTCATGCTGCTATGGCATATTCTTCTCCAAACACTATTCTGCTTCTTGATATTCAGTTGCCAAGAATAATATGTTTCAAACTAGTTTTTCTCTAACATAAACAGATAATTACAGGAAGGTTAAAACAAACTATTGAAGATTCTACATTGAAAATTTATTTCACAATTAATCCTACTGCATTTTTGGGCACTTAGCTGCTTAAGCAGGAAAGAGGTCATTTGTTATAGGTAGGATGTTCGTTGAGATTCAGATGAGAATCTACCTTAAAAGAAAGAACTGACTTTTATGATTCTGTACATCCATCTCTTTGCAATGTGGCGAAACTTTAAATGCCATTGTTTTCATCATATACCTGCAAGGGCACCTTAATGCTTCCTGATAATCTGCAGAACATTTCATCTTAAGCCAAGTGTTGGGGAAACTGTTAATACAACTTGAGATAGACCATAAAATGCTGGGAAACTTGCATTTGTGGTTTTCTTCAATTCTCTGAGTTTGTTAGCACATTTCCAAATAACATGTTTTCCAAAACAAATTTACTCATTTTGGGGCTTAATGGGTATATCAGTGTCAAGTATTGTTTATTCCATTACTAAAGAAAATTCCATACAGGGATCTGAGCCACCACTGGTCTCTGATGCCCCATGGACTTCCCAAATGCTCGTTGATGAATCTCCGTCAACAACTGTGGGGTGGCCTATCTTGAAGCCCCACCACTCTTCGGAGACTTCTGCTGAAGAGCTAGAGAGGTTTGCCATGGTGCGGTTGCAGCAGAAAGTCTTGAATGATTGCCGAAACTTCTTAGCAAACCCATCTGGTTCAATTAGTGATGAAGGTGAGGAAGATGGGGATCAGGATGATTGGATGGATGAAGATGGGTCTGATGAATGTGAAGAATTCAAGTTCTTTTTGAGATTGTTCACAGATAGTAATGAACTGAGGAATTATTATGAGAATCACTATGAAGGAGGGGAATTTTGCTGTTTGGTTTGTTGTGCTCTAAAGAAGAAGGGTTGGAGGAAGTTTAAGGGGTGTCTTGGGCTTCTTCAGCATGCTACTGCAATATCAAGGACAAAGAAGAAGGCTCATAGGGCTTATGGACAGGTTATCTGTAAGGTTCTTGGTTGGGATGTTGATCAGCTTCCGACAATTGTATTGAAAGGAGAACCTCTAAGGCAGTCTATGGAAAAGTCAGGCATCTTGCTGGTAATCTTTGTGTGTGATAATGAAGGCATTTTCTTCCCCTGACTTGTAGTTCAACTGGGTTTGGGGAGATAGGCAGTGTCCTAGGTTTGATTTATAAACAGGAAGAAAAGTTATGCTTTTCATGCATATTATATTATTGGTTATTGTTCTTGAAGTTACAAATGACTTGATAGTCAAATATTGCAGGGTGAGCCTGAGATAAATGCTGATTGTGGTCATGAAGACTCAAGTTTTCCTCAGACTGAAACTTTTCATGGTAATGTTAGTGCATCAGCTTCAAGGGAGGATTCTGATATCCATCAGAAAAATTGTGTCCTGGTGAGTTGCAAGGTTAGCAATATCTGAAACTTGAGAAATTTCCTTGTTTACTACTTAATCATTCCATAATATGAACAATTCTTTCATTGCAGAACACATTGAATGGAGGATTTGTTAATGAACATGTCAATGATCTTGAAAAAGAATGCGTCAAAGCCAATAAATTAAGTTTGGTGGATTTCAGGGTGAGATGACTGTTCTTTGTGGCCCATTTGGTGGGGTGTTTTCTACTGATGGTATGAATATGCTTTTCTGTTCTTTTGTCACTGATGTACCACTACACTACATAAGCCAAGGATTTTGTGCATGGTATTAAGAAAGGCAGATAGGTTAAGTAAATCATACAAAGGTGTCAATCTAAGCAGGTGATGTGGTTGCTTTATGTTATGGTTGCATGAATGGAGAGTTTTATCAGGAGTTATTGTTGATGGGAATATAAAGTGTGAACTCACTTTGTCAATGACTGAGATTCTCTCTCCCAACTCAGCAAACCCTTCGTTGATTCTTCAGCTGCTTCCTTCATCTCATAATTATCACTGCATGCTTTTTGATGCTTTTTTACTTAGTAATGGTGAATATATGAGCGATGCGAGCTTGCTTTGCCCAGGACTATGAAAATCTTTCCCAATCCCACCATTGATGGTTCTACTGCATCCTTCATTTCATGAACATCACTGCAAGGCAGGAAAATAGTTGTGCACGATCAAATCCTCAAGGCATCCTTAATGTGTGCATACCATTTAGTTAACTTAATAACAACAACATTTCTATGCAATATTGCATTTTAAGGTGTGTTTCAAAGTAGAAGTTAGTTTCAAATACATTGATTTCTGTATCATTTCCGGCTGCAGTGTTTCTTTCTTAGCAGCTTAAAACATTTATTGCAGGCAAACTTGAGGGAAAGTGGTGGAAACTATAAAAAGCAAAACTTAGCATTCTGGGTAAACAATTGTTGTTGGCCTGAAACACAACAGTCTCAATCAATGAGGAAAGGAAATTCGCTAGAAGAAGGCCGTGAAAGTGAAGGCTGAGGAAGGAAGTGTCTGACGGTGGGATAATAATTTATTCATTTTCAGTTATTACAAGTCCCTGAGTAGTTTGCATTCTCGTTTGGTTCAGCATCCTCCTCCTTTTTGTTTAATCGTGGTTTTACTGATTTCCATCTATGATTTGTTTCAGGAGCATCCAATTGTGAATTGAAAGAAGATTTTTGTTGGAAATCCTACTTTCTGCAGGAACAGATATAAAACTAGACTTGTAGTGGTTCTTGCTTGAGCAGCCAGAAAGAATGAGCTTAGGTAGGGCTTGCATGGTTTTCTATTCAAAAACTACTGATGTAAAAGAATTAAACCTCCTCACTACCAAAAAATAATTTAGGAAAAAAAAAAAAGGACAAGTATAAGAGCTCTCACATTGTTCTGAGAGAGAGAGAGAGAGAGAGAGAGAGAGAGAGAGAGAGGCGTGGTTCTTGCAGGAAAACGTCGCAAGTTGATTTGTTGGTATATTGATGTAAATTCTGCTCTCTCTGATCAATTATGTCTGACCAAAATGAGAATAAATGCAAGGAAAGCCCTCAAAAGCGTCATTTGCTTGGGATTATTCGTTGTATAGATTCAACTTAGGTGTATGCAAATGGTAGTACCAATCACTAATACTATTTAACACGAGAACGGTTTGGTTCTACTACTATTTGATGAATGATTTTTAACAAAGCTTCAGTTGAGTTGGCATTCAAATGAAAATGCTGGCTCTAAAGTCTCTTCTACAGTTTTCCTTAGTAAAATTCCAGCATGTCATGCCAATTCTCCACATGGTTCCTCTTCCGAACAGTAAAGGACGCCTCTATCAATGCAACCCACAAGCCCATTAGTTAACAAGGAAAACGTGACTCAAGCCCGTTGGTATCTGTGAATAAACTAAGGCACGTATTCGTTGGGCTAAGATTAGAGATTATGTTCTTGTCCGCCACGTAATTTACAGATTCCTTCTTACCCTTTTTTTTTTTTTTTTAATTCTTTTTGGGCTGCCCCTCCTAATTCCTATATAAAGAGAAGGAAAACAAACCACTGGCCTAAAAACCAGATATACACACACACAGGCACGGCACCGTAAAAATCAATCGAAAAATCACCTAACCTGAAATAAAGAGATATTTTTGTTGATAAAAAGAGGAAAAAAATGTCAGGAGTTGGACCAATCTCACAGGACTGGGAGCCCGTAGTGATCCGCAAGAAAGCTCCCAACGCCGCCGCCAAGAAGGATGAGAAGCTCGTTAACGCCGCCCGCCGCTCCGGTGCCGAGATCGAAACCGTCAAAAAATGTATCTCTCCTCTCTTTTATTCTTTACCGTATTATTTAGATGGTTAATTTAATTCAATCAGTCAATCCAAACAATCTGGTTTTTTTTTTTTTTGGTATTGTTGATGATGATACTGGAGTTAGGGTTTGGTAGAAATTTGATAATTGTTTTGGATCTATCTATGTATTTGTTGTTTTGGAATCTATTGTGATAATAAACAACTTTAAATTTCTATTTTTTATTTTTAAGAATTAGGGTTTCTTTCATAGTTTTCAACTTAATTCTGTTATTAAGTTATAATAAGCAAATGAAATAAATATTACCTATGTAATTCTTAATCTAAATGTTTTCAAAAACCCTAATCTTATATTAACAAATATACGCCTGATAAACTTAAATATGGCAGGTAGAGAAACTGATAAGCTGCGACGATGTTTATTTGTGTAGACTTTAAATGATTTTACTTTAATTTGACCTGCAGCAACTGCTGGTACAAACAAGGCTGCCTCTAGCAGCACTTCTTTGAACACAAGGAAGCTCGATGAAGAAACTGAGAACCTTACTCGTGAGTATAATATTTATTTATTTATTTATTTTTATTTTTAGCTTGTCTGCATTCATGCTCTAAGAGTTCCCTGTTGAGTAGTTGCTTCTATTGAATGTTTGGATTTTGTCCTTATAAAACATTTCTTGCATCTCTGATGTCAAGTTATCTATTTAATTCTATAATCTAGTGAAAATTTTGGAGGACAGAACCTTTTAACTCAGGTCTTTTTACATGATCAGAAAGGGAAGGGAGGGTGGAGGATTTTAGTCGTTACATCATTGTTAACATTGTGGTGTTTGAGTCTTCATGGTTTTCTGTGTTTGTCTTGCTGTGTCTAATTAATGTTAATTGACTTTGCAGTTATCGATTAGATTTAATCGACTGATTAATGAGTTTTGAGGTTATTGAGGTTATTGAGGTGTATTTGTTGATGGAACTTTCTGTTTTCATCAGCATGCTCCGACTTAAAACAAAGCAGCATTTAATCTCATCTAGAGATAAGCTTGCTGTGTCTAATCAATGTTAACATTGTGGTGTTCAAGTCTTCATGGTTTTCTTTGTTCGTCTTGTTGTGTCTAATTAATGTTAATTGACTTTGCAGTACTTGATTAGATTTAATCTACTGATTAACGAGTTTTGAGGTTATTGAGGTTTATTTGTTGGTGTAACTTCTGTTTTCATCAGGTTGCGCCGACTTAAACAAGCAGCATTTAATCTCATCTAGAGATAAGCTTTTCCTTTTTGATCTATAGCTGAAGAGAGTTGCTAAAAGGATCTGTCTATCTGTCTCTGTTACCTCTTTCTTGTTACTATTTTAGAGTTTTGACACTTCATGATGAAAATCCTGAATTTCAGGATTTTTAAGTTATCATGAGATTCAAAATATGAGGAACAAGTGTATAAAATTAATTTTGTTTCTTATGGTTTTATGTACCGAATGATTAGCACGCATATTTTTGCTTCCTGATGCAACTTGCTTAGTTGATTTTGCTGCACTCATTTCTTTGATCATCTTCATACATGGTTTTACTGCTTTCCCAAGCTGCTCATGTTTTGAGACTATGATACTTCACCATTGGAAGAAAAATCCGTTCTAAAACCTTCTGGTCCATGTGCTGTTTTCCCACAGATGAACGAGTGCCAACTGAACTGAAGAAAGCAATCATGCAGGCTAGAATGGACAAGAAACTTACACAGGCTCAACTTGCGCAGGTTCCTCTCTCTGTCTCTCTCTCTCTCTCTCTCTCTCTCACACACACACACACACATCTACAATGACTTTAATTTTTCAGTTCAGGGATCTTAAATTCCTATTTCCCTCGTGCAGTTCATCAATGAGAAGCCCCAGATAATTCAAGAGTATGAATCTGGAAAAGCCATTCCTAATCAGCAGATTATAGGCAAACTAGAGAGGGCTCTTGGTGTGAAGCTGCGGGGAAAGAAGTGATGTAGGATTGGAAACACAGCATGGAACTATAAAGTTGTTCTCCGCTGTCTCTTTGAGTCTTAGAATTGATGGTGTATGTACATGAACCCTTTCTACCTTTGTTATGACTCGCATGTAAGGAACAGTCGCTTTGACTTGTGTGATGACTTTGAATTTGGATTTGCCTTTCTGTCCTTGGTTCCTTGTTTGTGTTTTGTGCACCAAAAGTTTTTGGTTGGTTTAGACTTGCAAGAATTTTCACAACTTAAATAAAATGAGACAGGCCCATCTTGTCAATGACCTTCGACATTGCAGAAAGTGAGGAGATTGTCGTCCTTTAGTTTACTTGTGGAGGATGTTGGATCAGAGGTTGCACTGATTCAGTGCACCATTTAGATTAACGGAAGTCATGAAGGCTAGCAGCTATGCTTTTGTGTTTCGCCTCTTGATGTGGTATGATGGTGTATATTAAAATTGAGAAGATGGGGTCTGCCTTCCCTTCATCTAACAATCCTTGCATTTCCCTCTAGTTATAAAATCATTCATGAATATTCAACGGCAATTAGTGCCCATGCCATTAGATACTCCTTTTAACTCCTTTAATTCTGAAACCATGGTTCCTCTCCAAACTAGGTGAGACAATTTTTCAGCCATTCCCTCCTTGCTGTTATCGTTTTTGTCCCTTGATTCTCCTAAACGATATTTAATTTCTGTACTGTTTCAATATATTTTATTGAAATCTTCTACAATTTTTCAGTTAAAAATTTATTGATTCAGATTATTTATTATAATGCTGTAACGACACAGATCATTTGTTAGAGCATCTCCAATCATGCTTTTTACTTTTATTTAGCATTTTTAATATAAATAGAGAGCATTATTAATTATATAGATTGAAGATTAATGTCCTTTTCAATACTATTCTCTACTTTAACTTTCTATTTTGATAAAATCCGTAAAACATTTAACTCTGAATTTTTTTTTTTTCAATCTCCCATAGAGATTGTTGGTGAAGAGATCAAGTGGTATATGAAATAATAATTTTCATTAATGAAATATAAGATAAAGAATTATTTGGGCTATGTAGTATTGAAGAGCCGGACCGAGTAGTATAGGAAATAATAATTTTCATTAATGAAATATAAGATAAAGAGTTATTTAGGCTATGTAGTATTGAAGAGCCGGAGATACTCTATATCTCACTTTTTAAAATTAGAGATTGTGATAAAGAGAGCATTGAAGATGAAATTTAGGTCAAAACTCTTCATTATAAAAAAAATCTTAATATAAAGAAGAACATTGAAGATGCTCTTATAACGATGTAAGTACAAATACATGATTAAATGAGTCCACACGAAAGTTTTGACATCTAGAAAAAAGAAAAAAAAATTAAAAATATTCTTATTAATAAACTAATATTTAAAAATTTATTGAAAAAGACAACTTCACTCCACTTCATTAACCCAAATCCAAATAACATGTTTTTATTCATTTTTTTACCATTGACATAGACACCACTACATCGACAGAAACCATCTCATGAAAATTGTCAATGTTGATGACAAATACTAGAAACCACAACTTTGTGCAACCTTTGCCTGTGATATTTACAAGCATTCGTGTGCATCTGATGTAGCATATTCAAGCTTATGTGCCAATTTCGAGTCTCTTTGTAGTGTGACAGTTGTACCTCCTTGTGGCATTGCTAAATGAGTTAGTTTCTTTCATGTATAATCTGTCATCCTCTTCGAGTTTTGTTTACATCTTAGTATGCACAATGTATTTCCAGAGTGCTACCTGAAGTTCCTGGACTTTTTAGATGAAGAAAAAGGTCTTCCATAGACTTCATAGAAAGCAGCTCCTTGCCTTCCTACCCTCTTAGTCCAAGAAACAACATCTAGTTTGGTATTCATCAAACACGTCAATAGCATCAACCTAACCCTCTCATTTCAACAAAAAAAAAAAAAAAAAAACCTGTTTGCCCTTTTCAAACTCCTCATTCCAGACGTACTCATTAACCATAACAATGCAAACCACATTATCCAAATCTGAACACTCCTTAAAACACCTCTCAACTGACCCCAAATCCCCATTCTAAACACTCTTTAAAACACCTCTCAACTGACCCCAAATCCCCATTCTTTGAATAATTCTCAATTAGCCCACTAATTACAAAACTTTTAGACCCAAACCCAAGCCTTAAACAAACCGCATGAAAAATCCAATTCTAACCCAGAAATGATTGCATTGTAAGTGATGAAGTTCTAGTTGGGCTATACGGGATGTTGTAGATAGAAGATGCTTCATAGCCGCAGAAGAGAAAGAAGTCTTGCACTTTTATCGAATGCTTGTGGAAAAGCTTCATTAACGAGGAATGAAAGCAAAATGAGGGGCAACCCCAGCACTCGAAAGAAAAGCAGAACACAAGGCAAATGGAGATCAAGAAGGAAAAATAGATAAGAGGGATTGTCCCCATGCGGATAAGTAAGGGTTAAGAAAGTGATGCAATAGCTTTCGTGCTTTGGCTATTTCAGTTGAAATTGATAGGTTAGCAATTTCTCAACGGTTAGGAAGTGTAGGTAGCCATGGTGATGTGGTGTGGAGAGAGGAGAAGGAAGAGGAAGAAGAAAGAGAGAGAGATGATAATCGGAAAGAAGTCGGGTTCAGTGGGATGAAATCATTACGTCCAAAAGAATAAGTTGGGATAATGGGATGGGGGCAGTTTTATCTGTTTAATTTATTTTCAAATATTAAATATTAGTTTAATAACAAAAACCTTTTTATTTATTTTTTAATAGGATGCACTATACTATATGTCTATTTTTAATTGGTTATTGTTAATTTTAATGTGACACATCAGATAAATAATTAACGAAGGTTTTGAAATAATAATTTTTTAAGAATAGAGAGGTTTCAATCAAGTTGAAAAACTATAAAGGACTTTAATAAAAAAAATGCGAATGGTAGAGGGATTAAATGTAGGATAAATCCAATTTAAAACAAAAGTAATCCTCTTTTGAATTCATTTTGCATATTCTCTTATATCTTGACCATGCATGGACAAGATAGGTATTATATTTCTTCTTCAAATCTATTAGTGTTTTAATACGAGTTTGATATGAAATTGTATTCGATTCAAAAGTAGGTTTTATTGAAGTGATTATTAAGAGTAATAATTATGGAGAAGGAATTCTAATGTAAGTAATACGCTGTTTTGTTGGGGTTTTTTTTTGTGCTCGTATCAATTAAGAGGATTTTGTACAAAAGTGATAAAAAAATGATTAGATAAGTGGTTTGTAAGGCAATCCAACTTCCAGATTCAAATATGAAAGAATGTAATTAATGATCCTACATGTACTACTACTTTTTCTAAACATGTTTTTAATATTTTCATGAATAAAATGACTAAATCAAACAATTTAGAACTAGTCCGTAACCCTTACGTGAAGTTTGAAAGCTCGTCAAGACAAGTTGGGTTGTAAGTTTATATAAATGACTAATTTCAATAGTGTATCTTAAACAAACAATTCAAGTGTCTTACACTAATTTTCAATTAAAATAACAAGTTCAAATTGAAAATTATAAGATTAAATAACTTAATTAAAAAAGCACAAAATTACAAGTTTAATAAATTAACGAGTCTAAGCAAAAACTCACATTCATTAGTGACAAAAAGTGCTTGCAAATATCCAAATACTCCAAACATGCCAATTCTTCATGATCACTAATCGTGAATGTAGGACAAAAACCATTAATCAATTTATCGACCTATAAATCTATCAGTCCACTTGATTACAAACTACTTAATTACGACTTACAAATTGATGCCTACAAACTATAACCTAATAAGTTTCAAGAGTGTTAAAATGTAAAATACCACTCAAGAAGCTATTTGTAAATTACAAGTTAAGTTTGCTTATATATTGTATTGTGTGTCTTTCTCATGTTGTAGTTTGTATTTATAGGCTTTTTGCTTCTTTATGATAATCAAAAAAAGTATTTGGTTTTTTAGCACTTGGCTTTTTGGTGAATTTCTTTATTCGGTAAAAAAAGACAAAAACAATCCGAGTAGAAGAGATTTTTTATTTTTTATTTTTTTATTGCAATAGAGTTCATTGAAGCACATTCTATTGTTAAGAAGTATATATACGACTTCTTGTACTAATTTATCTTGACATCTTATTACTTCTCTTAGTGTAGATCTACTTGTTGTTAATAGATCTATAAGAGTATTGTTTTGATAGATAAATCAAGTTTAGAGTTCATTAATCTCCCCAATTATGAAATCCCCTTTCTTCCACTTCACACCTCATAATGCACCTTTTTTATAGAGAAAAAGTGATTTCACATCTTTTCAACCCAAAATGAAAGTGGTTATGATTGATTCGATAGAAAAGAAGAAAATATGTATTTTTGATTAAGGATTTCCAAAAAAAAAAAATTGTCGTATATTACTCGACTCTTTATGAAAGATATTTAGTCTATCGAATAGAAGTTAAAAAAGGTATTTGTACTTGACGAGTCCTTTATATGGAAATCGAGGCTAGGGGACCATTTGTTTGACTCTTATTGATGAGAATTTGACTCCATAAGAGAAATTGAGCACTAAAAGAATTATTTTGTTGTATCTAAACTAATATCAATTCAACCTATTTCATGAATAAAATGTGACCAATTAACCAACCAACAAAACTATTTGTAACAAATAAGATATTGTTCTTACATCGAAACATATAAATATTGACTAATCTGACTAACATTGAACTTTGTAAAATGAAATGGTTGAATAATTCAAAAATAAGATTATTCAAGAATACACATTGAATGCTAAGATTATGCCATAATAATAATAAAAAAAATTGTGTTTTTTTAGAAAAAATTAAGCAATAGATATAGTAGAGTTAGGATAATTATTCTATGAGGTATACCCAATGCTAGATGCAAAGGCACATAATAGATAGATATGAACATCATGAGCTGCATCATAATAAGACAAAAGATACAATAGAGTTAGGACAATT